TTACACTACATTTAATTGATTTAAGATTAACAATCCTATACGCAGCACATTGTTATAAAATATTACAAATAAAATAATCTTTCAACAAACACACTAATTTAATAAAGATTGTCTGATTTCATCAAAGATTTTGAAAGGCATAATATGGTATTGAAAACCTAAATTTTTGAAATTCGTTTTTTATAGCAACCAAAACATGACCTTAACTGTTAAAACGCAAACACTAAGATATTTTTAATTTATTTTAAACTTATATTATTGAAGAATATTAGAAATGTAACTAAATATTGAAAATTTAACTAAATATTGAAAATATTGAAGAATATTAACTAAACTGAAACTGAAGAATATAAACTGAAGAATATTAACTTAGAATATTGAAAATTTAACTAAAACATTCCAATTTCTGTTTTCTTCAAATTTTTTTTTTCAAAATAATATCAACTCTACAAAAACAATGGCTAAGTAGCACATTGAAATGGTTACAATTTTATAGTGTGTGTAGAAAACCAAGGTTTAGTAGATTAATACCAGGTTGTGCACTGGCCTTCATGCATTGTACTAACAATTTACATTAGAGTAATGTTTCATTATATTTAGATTTGGATTTTAAAAAATCTTAAAAACAAACTGCTTGCAATTTTTGCTCTAAGTGGTTTGGGGAATTTTCCTAGATAGAATATGATGGAAAATTAGAAAGAGCATTTTGCATAATGTGCAAAAAAAATAAATTAACCACAGTAATGGTTACTTTAAGGAACACAAACTTCCAACAATCAACTTTGGTATAACATCAATTCTCAGCTGATCAAGTCACAACAATTGCTCTTCAAGAAGCTGCATCATTTGAAAATTCTGTAAAGGCTGCAGCTTTTTGCAAGCAACTCTAATTTAGTTTTTTTAAAACTCTTTACACAAAGTGTAAAAAGAAAATGGTTTAAACAAAATTTAAGCCACTAATGATACAACAGAAAGCAAATTAAGTTGCAAATGCTGTCAATGATACTATAAGCATGCATAACAGAAAACTCACCAAGATTTTTTTTTTTTTAAAAAACTGCCATACCTGAAGTGTTAGTAAAATGTTTGACAATAACGTTGGAAATAGCCCTATCATTTCCAAATAAATTGATGAAAGAACAGATTGTCTCAGCGGCAAAAAACTGATCGTTGTGAAACTTTTTTACAGGTAGAAGCTCAAAAGTTTGTTTTGGGGCCAATCTGACTATTACAAATGAAACAGCAAATGGCATAATTTAGGTCAATTTTGAACTTTTTAAAATCTAAAAATGTACTGGGATTCGGTTCAATAAAAATGTTCAATAAAGTACTGGGATTCGGCTCAGCTGGCACATTCGTGATGATGGGCTCTATAAATAGTGTTGGAGCTCAACTGAAAAGCTATTGTCCGATATTGTTGCACATACATTATGCAGCACGTAAGCTAGTACTCACTGTTAGTTAAGCAGCTGTAGGGATTCCAATAACTGTTAAAGGGAAAGACATTTTTAATTTCACAAATGAATATTTGAAATCAACCCAATTTAAATAACACATGTGATGAAGTAACTGTTAAAATTTTTGTACTGTTAGACTTTAAATCTAAACAACTACAACTTAAGTGCAAGTAATGATGCTTTTGATCATTTAATTAATAATTATAATGAAAAGCACCATACATGGTAATATGCACCCAAATGCAGAGCTATTAAAAAAGGAATTCTTTTTTTAAAGGACTTAATTATTTTTTATAAAGGCATAAAGATTATAGACTTTTGTTCAAGAGTGTACAGATGGTGAAAATCACATCCCTTTCCCATACATTCCAACTTTTCCTGTTTAAATTAGATATTCACCACTATATACTATCAGTAGAACAAATATATAAGGCCTGGGAATTGGGCAATGAAGTTCTTTAAGAGCAGGAAAAATTAAAACAAATTCAGACCATTATAATAGTAAGCAATGTGAAGTGTAGGACTTCAAACTTGGCATAAAATCTTTCATACATTCAAAATTCAGGAAATAGTCACTCTGCCAATAACTACTTGCCATACAAAGTGGAAAAAAATCTATCAAGTAAACTTTGCTTGGGAATGAGCATTTGAGAATTCTTTCATGATTGTCTTGTTAAGAACCTCTTTTTAATGCTCCAATAAAGGTGTCAACTGTGACATGAATTTTTTGCAGGTGAAAAAAATTAATGGAACAACAAAATGCATAAAAGCCTACATTAAATTTATTTATTTTGTTTTGTTTTTAAGGGACCTCCTCCTATTGCAATAGAGTAAATGAAGTGGAAATAATGTCATTCTAACACACATTATTAGTTATAATATGTGACAGAAAATGGCGGTAATTTACTAATTTGTTTTTTAAATTTCACTCCCTATTTTGAATTTCACTCCTAAAAATTAATAGAGTGAGATTACTCTCTACTTTTTCTTTCTTTTTTTTTGGGGGGGGGGTAACACTGGTCACTAGTAAGACCCATAGAAGAGAAATGTAAATAAAATACGCACATCACTATGATTTTTGTCTTCAGAATGAAACCACATTACTGAATGGCGAATCAAGAGAGATTTTTTCTATTATCAGTTTTTCCTTGTTATTTCAATGGAAGAAAATTTATGCTGGAATTTTGAAGTTAAAAATCTTAAAATATTATAGTTTATTACTTTATTTGGTTGCACAAAAAAAAATTGTTCAAGGAGAACTTTATACATTTTATAGGAAAGTTAATTTATCTTCTTTCGGGATTACATTTGTTTTATTTACTATATAAATAAAATTTTAGCTAGTGCACCTTTTTCTTATAACATATCAATCCAGATAATTAAATTTTATTCATTCTACAATCCAAATATATGCTTTTTAAACTATCTACTAAGGAACTATAAACAAATAGGAAGACAACATAATCATAAAGTAATGATTATATAGTATTATTAATTACTAATACATAATTTATTAACTATTTTATTGCTAAAATTTAGTAGACGAAGTTTTATTGATTCTTCGTTCACTTATATTGCTTTTTTTTAAACCCTCCATTGTGTTTTTTTGAAAGAATAAACTCTTCAATATCAACAGCTATTGCATTGAAATAATTTAATTAATAATATACATTTGCTCACAGAAAAGAGGGGTTATGAAAGGTTATTACAAAACCATTTGAATATAAGGCAAAATTTTTTAACATTAAATATAAATTCTTTGATGAAATCATCTGGTCCTTTTAAATTGCAATAATACATAAAAAAAATGAGAAGACAAGCAATGGTATTATAATGGTTAGTCTTATCATTGCAGGTATAAAGTTGAAATAAACTAGAAAGTTTAAAAGAGCTAAGCAGATTTTGTTAAAAGCTTCTTAAGGTGATGCAATCCTTTATTTACTCCTAATTTTAATTTTCGACTCCTTGCCATGTCTAAAATTATTTATTGTAATCATCTTCAAAAATTCCAGAAAAGATATCGATGATTTTACAAGATGCTGCACAATTATAAACTATATGTTAGATTAAAGTTAAAACTTGATTTTTATATACTTGAATATCGATAAATCATTAAAAAAAGTAATATACAGGTATGCTACAAAATAACTTCAGATTTTTTTGAAAATAGCAGATTAATTTTGTAAAAATGTAAACAATTTCATTCAGTTCATACACATTAAAAATTAGAATTCCAAAATAACTTTTAATCAAGCAGCGTCTTGCTGAAAAACAATTTACTTTTCTCTATTGCCTGCATTAGTACAAAACACGAATCTACCAGAAAAGAGATGCCCTTCACCCACTGCCAAAATCGATAGAAAGAGGGAATTCTGATGTTTAGGACTAAGAGAGATGGGGAAATGAAACAGCAAGATTGCCCAATTTGTATTACTGTTCTGTGGGATTTGTATAGTCTTTTAGAATTATTTGAATATCGAAATGATATTTTTTATCAAAGATTTATTTGAAGGTTTTAACTAAGTAAAAAGAAGTACATATAATTTACAATCTAACAGTCTATAGAATCATAAAAAAGATTACTCCAAATTTAAATATTAAACAAATAAATTAGTTTCTTCAAAATAAAAATATTTTAAATGGCAAAAAAAGCTTTAAATCTAAGAGGTTAAAGACAACTAAAAAATTTAAAGGGGTACCAGGTAATAAGAGACCCTTAAAAAATCAAGGTACGGTGCATTCCATTACATTAAAAATCTAGAATCCGCAAAAATTAAAAATATTTAGTAATTGGCATCCCTGCTTTTGCTTTTTACTGAATAACTAAAATTCTACACATATTCTGAAAACCCAGGTTCATTATTTTCCAGTCATGAATTATTTCAAATCATTTACAAAACATGAACTAAAAAATCTTCGAAGATATTTTAGAAAGAAAAAAAATTGAATACAACAAAAGAATAAAAATATTGAAAACTGAAAATACCCCTCAGAAACATAGTTTTTGTAACTTAAAGATTTTTCGAGCTTATACTAATATAGAAAACTTTTAGAAAGAAAAAGTTATAAGATACTCATGATTTATAAATTATATTAATGTAATTTCTTTTTTCAAAAGTTACAATAAAATCAAAAATTAGATTACTATTATTTTTTTAAATATATATTAAACCTTAAAAAAGAAATATTTAATTTAGATTTAGCCATAAAAATTTCATCATAATGCAAATTATTGAGGAAATTCTTGTAATTAAGAAAAAATAAGTGATTAGGTTGATTAAAAAGATTGACAGTAAAGATAACTGTTCTGGAAAAGGAAATGAAATAATGAATATTTTAAACATATAATGTTGGAATTTTAATAATATGGAGAAATCTAACAATGCATATGCCTTCTTCTTTAAAATACAATTTAAATTGAATCAAGCAGAAGTAAAGATATAAAACAATAAATAGTTTAGCTCAAATGTAACGAGTAAAAAATGTATTCAGTAAATGTATGAGTTACAAATGAGTGAATTGCACATGTGCATTAGTCAAAATTTTCTCTTAGTAAAAGAAATAAAACAAGTCTTCCATAAGACATAAAAATAAACTATATATTGAAAGTTTATAACTTTTAACTGTTATAGCTGAAATGCGAAAATCTTTTCAATATCTTAGAAATGCTTTTATTGCCCCAGAATGAGAAGCAAGATTTCATTTTTGATTATGTTTTACATAAGTTTCACTGGGACTAGCAAGATAAGCAGCATGAATAAAACAGCTGCTGTGTAGGAAACATTTAGGTAGTTTGTCAAAATGTTAAATTATACTTTCTCTAGTGTTAAACAACCGTTCCTCCACTTGGATTACTGGAACTTGGGCTAGACACATGTTGAGCAAGTATCTAAAAAATGAAATTACATCATTATTATTTGCTTAATATTGATTTCAAGAAATAGTTTGCATTTACAGTAAATGCTTATAGATTAAGATATTATTTAATTATTAGTAAAAATATAAAAAAAGGAGAAAATTTGTCTACCTTGCTATAATACAGAAAAATATTCCGTTGTGTGTGAATTGCTTTGTGTTGCCCATTCCTAAATTATACCATGCTAAAAAGTATTTATGGAGTACACAAAACCAATATGATTGAATGGCAAGCGATAATTATGATTGAATGGCAAGCGATAAATAGAATCATTTTACTAATTTTCATACTCAGGTATCTGTAGGTTTTGGTCTGATGCTGTGCATGGAGATCTGCAAAGCAAGACCATTTTAATAAGTGGCAGACTAAGTGCAGATAGGCAACTCATTAAAATTGATCAGCTAGTTTGACACACCATTTTAATCCGATACATTATTAACCTTCCGTTAGACGCACGCACCTCACAGGTGCATCTTTACTGCACTTCCACCTCCTTTGCCGTCAATAGATTTTTCCGGGGGGCGAGCCTAATGTTATCTTCCTATCTTTGAATTACTCAAAGGTCCGTGTACTCCCGACCTTCGAACATGTCGATGGAGAGTTGCAGCGGCTCAAATCACCCCACAGGTGCAACGCGACCATTGACCCAAGTATTATGGATATAATATTTTTATGAATTAAATATCTATATTTTATCTTATTTTTTGCCCTACTCAACATAGCAGGTATAAATGGTCAAGTTATATACGAAAAAAGTGGTTACGAAGTGAAAAACCGTAGAACCTTCTTGCGTCAATTGGCTAAACAACTTGTGATGGATGAAATGATCCGACGCAGGAGCAAGAAAAATTTATCTTCAGTACTTCGCTTTCGATTGGCAAAAGCAAACTTCTCAAGCCTCAGAAAATTCACTGTCAGAAAATGAAGCCAAGAAAAGAAAATTGTGCGTGCCATGTCAAAAAAATAAACAAACAAAAATAATTATACTTATGCTACTTGCGGAAAACACTTATGTTTGAGTAATGTAACAACAATTTGTAAAGACCTCTTGCAAAAATTCTTGTTCACATGAAGGTAGTTCTGCATCAGACAGCCTCTAAGATAATATTTTTATACTAACATGTGATATTGAAATAAGTTGTTCCGATATATAAGACTCTCAATGTTTTTTTACAATTTTACTTTTCTTTGTTTTTCTTTATGTTGTGCAATTATTTGTGATAGTTTTTTCATATATTTTAGTAATTAAATAAGTTTTTTCATACTTAATATATCTAAAGAATCTTAAATAGGTAACAATTAACTATTTAAACTAGAATAAATTTCACTTGACTTTAAAAAATTCAAAAACACCTTATAGGTGCAACGCGACTAACCATGTCGGAAACAAGTGCGCGTCTAATGGAAGGTTAAAGATGCCGATCAGTTTTTTTTTTAATATTAATTTAACACTTTCAAAATTAAAATAAATTGGAAAGAGGCTGGATACTTTTTTAATTGAATTATTAATTTCATTAACAATGACTTTACAACCGAAGTCCATGCACATTGTCAAACTGAAAAAGATTGTGTACCGTGGTGAAAACCCTTAAATAAACCAGTGTTCTCCATAAGTGTCTCCATAAGCGGTCTGCTTTGCCTTCTCTTTAATACTCATAAGTGCCCTCATTGTCCTTTTGGTAAAAGTAGGTCACCACTCTTAAAAACAATTGCCTTTTTATTCGTATTCCATTTTTACAAAAATAATTTACTGTTTAAATAACAATTACACACAGGAAAAATTATGTGTGTAAATAGGTTTGATTCAGCTAATAAGTTTAATTAATACTATTACAAATATTTACTTTGTTAGGATTATTCTCAAATCATTAAATGTTTATAAGTATCTCTTTTTTTAGGGGAAGGATATTAATAGTTGTTGTAGCTGTAGTTCGTTTCAACGCACAAGAGCTGCACAATGGGCTATTGGCGACGGTCTAGGAAACATCCCTGAGGATGATCCGAAGACATGCCATCACAATTTTGATCCTCTGCAGAGGGGATGGCACCCCGGCTTCGGTAGCCCAACGACCTGCACGTGAAGTCAGGCACTTTACAGTAGCACAGTTTAACGAGGACCAATACTGGAGGATATTAATAAATTTTTCAATTATTTTTATTCTTAAAATTATTTTATAAATAAATACCTTTTTAAAAAAAAATGCAACTTTAAATGTTTATTTGCTCATAATTTTCAGCCTAAATTATATAAAATGCTTTCAAGTTGTTTATCAATTTTAAATTTATTTTTAGTTTACTTGTTTGTTTGTTTTTTAAAAATTGTGCCCTGAGATTGTCTATTAGCATGTTTTTAATTATTTTTATAAACTACAAAATTTTCTCTTATTCTCATAATGAGAGAGAACTATTTTTGGAAAGATACACACAAAATAACATAAGAGGATCATTTAAAAATTGTTGAGGATCAAAGTCAGTTATCAAATATTACATTTTTTCATAAATTTTTAGTGTTAAATGAGAGCCATTTCAAAACACAAAATGCCCTTTTCTGAGAGGTAGCGCCCTGCTCTTCGATTCCAAGGGAGAACTCAGAATAAACAAGCATTCAATTATTCCAAAGAATTACAATTAAGTTATTTATAAAGGTATTACTTTAAAAACAATTGATTATTTGAAGAAAACAAAATTAACCCTGAGACCATATTTAGATTTTGCATACAAAATATAATTATTTAAAATGCTACTTTTGAAACAATATGAAGTTTCAAATTTTGTTACGAGAAAACATGAGTAGTTTTCGAAAGAGAATAACAAAGTTAAGCTCAACTAACATAAATTTGTGAAACACTTTTCTAAAAGAAAAGTATCTAAAAAATTATTATTTTTTTTTTTTTAAAAATCTAAATTATTCATTTTGGAATGCATAATGAGTTAAGATGTTTAACTGAGTCAATGTAACTAAATTATTAACTAGTTTCAAAATATTTCATACTAAAAATAAAAGTTCTTAATTATTTCAAAGTATTTTCAGATGTTTTAATAAAACATTTTTGCAACAAAATGCTTTTTTTCTTATATATGAATTGAATTCCAAGCGTAACAGAGGGAAAATCACAGAAGTATTTTATTCTAAAAAAATATATTAAATGTATCTAAAAACAAAACATTCTGCAAGAATGTGCTACTTACGGGTGCAATGTTTTATTAATTGACATAAAATAATAAAAGAGCCTGTAGCATATCTACCACTACAAAAAATTACAATACAATTCACTGGTATATCAGACCATGTCAACCGTTATCTATGAAAAGGTACCCCGACATAGAGTCGAGTTAACATGTCTTATATACTAGTGAATTGTAGTTGAATTTTTTAGTGGTAGATACGCTACAGAGCCTCATAATTAAATAGAAAGTACTAACAAAGGGGACAAATAAAATCCCACATTTTTGACATGCATTTATGCTAAATTCTGTGATTTGGACCATCCTAAACATTATTTGTAATTTTTTTAAATTATCACATTTCAAGGTAAAATAAATCGATATAAGACTTTTAAAATTGTAATCACATTTTTATTAAGTTTAAACAATGCATCGTAACAGAGAGGATATGAAATGTAACAGAAGGGACATTTTACTAATTTGATAAATATTAGAGTTTCTCATGCTGCAATAAAAACAATGGATGAGTACTGCATGCATGGCAATGGTAGCTAAAAGTCACCTTCTTCAAAGAAAAATGTTAATAAAACTAATATTTTAATGTACACAAAAATTTAACAAATTTTCCAAACTTCATAAAAATTTAAATACTTTAAGTGTAATTTTAAAACATCCAAGAGAACGTAATACAAAATAAAATGAATAGTCTGATCCTTGGCACACTTTTATGGAGAGTATAGCTACACAAACAAGAGACAACCACATATAATACATCTTCTCTAACTATTTTTTTTCTCCAATGCCCACCTGGATAATGACCTAGGTCATACAGGCACCTGAAGGGCAGATTTGTAGGACACTCGTCCAGGGGCACCATATAAGGTGGGCCAACGTTGCTGCCACAGTAAGGACAGATAGTACAGAGAAGGATAGAACATCCATGCCTTGCCCGGGATTCGAACCCAGAACCTTTCTGATGCAAGGGCAGTTCCCTAACCCCTACACAGGACGATCGGCCCTTCTCTAACTAAAAAATGGTCATTTGAGCATTAAAATAATACATATGGTATGCCATAGATAATTGAAAGATTAAAATATGACTAAACTGAACGATAAATGCAGTTTAAAACAGTAAGTGAATAGTTATTTAAAACAATCTTAAAAAGGACAGAGAGCCAAAAATTTTTTGATGTTCCAACTTTGCTCATATTTAATAAGATGAAACTTCAGCTCCTTTAAAGTTCTAGTACCTGCAATTTTGCTATATATTTATGCATGCTTTTGAGTATCAAATTTCAATTTAAAATTTGTATAATAAAAAGGCCCAATAATTATTATTATTAAAAAGAACATATTTTATTTATAAAAAATAAAAATGAATTTTAGATAACAGTATGATTAGTAAGAAATAATTATTAGATATTAGAATAAAAATAAATAAACCAAAATTTAATAAAATATATCAGACATAAAAACTATTTGTTTTTGTAGAATCATCCAGAAATAAAAAACTCAAAATATTATCTTTTTATTTCAAGCCTGAAAAATTTTAAAGACTATAAAAAAACTTAAGAGGGGAGCATGAGGAAATTAAGAGCTTCATGGAAAACATGGCACCTGAGCACTCTGCCTCTTCTGTGAAAAATTATTTTTTATTTGAATCCATATTCTCATGTTAAGCACAAAAATCATATCTCCAACTGAAAACAAAAATTTAAGACAAAGTAGAAAAATTTTTGTGGTTGATGTTCTAGAGTTTTTTCATAGTAAATTTATTCATGTCTCTTACCCATTTATAACAATTAAATCTTAGCATTTAGGCATAACAAATTGTAGTCTCACAGATTAACAATAAATAAATAAGGCTAAAAAAAAATGGAAATAAAACAAGGGAGCTCATTGTGGCACTATATAGAGAAATACAAGAACAAAAATTATATATAATAACCTTGGATATTATATCAATAAAGGTTAATTGAACTTACCCCTTTACCAGGTCTTGCCCAGGTACAGACAAAACCTTCCTGGCAGGCAATAACAAAGCAGTCCTCCCTGAAAACTAATGCAGTTAACCTTTCATGTGCTATTTTTTTGCATATAAGAGGTTCTAGCATAGAAACTTCATCTCTCCGAGGACAAACAGGAGTTCCTATTAATTTCACAGGATCATCCAACACCTTACTTTGGTTGGATTTATTAAGGCTATTTTTATCAGCATTCCTTGAAGCAAGACTAAAGTTTCTCTTATGTTCTTTGTCAGACTTTTTCTCTTTTTCCAATGTTGCACTTTTATTTCCTATACTGAGACTTGGCAAAGTTAAATTTCCATCCACAAGTGGAGTTTCTTTTGGACAACAATTAGCTTGCGCATTTCCAACACTATTACATTTACTTAAGCTTGGAGGATGTGTACTTGGACTATTGAGCAACATACTAGTTCTAGTCCTCCCTATAGGTTGTTTTAAAACATCTTCAGTCAAATCCCAAAAACAAATTTGGGTATCTTGTCCTACAGAACCAAACCTATAGGAAGTAATATTTAAAGACCTACTACCAGATAATGAATTTCTCGCACACACTGAATTAGGAAGCAAGCTGCCCGAACCAGATTTACTTCCTGATGCTAACGTTTTTGAAGAATCACTAGTATTATCAGGAGGTAATGGACTTACTTCTTCTTCACTACCACTTAAATCAATAACATCAGAATCATTATATACATATGCATCAAATGCAACAACACTAACCCATGATTTATGGCCATGTCCTCTAGCAACAACTCTTTTCTCTTGAAAAGACCATACAGTTACAAGATCATCTTCTCCTCCAGTTACAACATATTTCCCATCTGGACTCCAACACACACATAATAGGCCACCAAAAAAGCTTCTTACTACTCCCACAAGATCCATTGTATCATAATTAAAAATTCTTAAGAAGCCATCTTGACTAACAGTAGCAAGATATTTTGAACAAGGAGAAAATGAAAATTCGTTTAGAGCACCATAGCCTATTACCCACCTATAGAGTGGATTTCTTGTACTTTTTGTTTTACATGTATAAACAGCAAACCCTTCACCTTGCTTAAATAGTTGATAATGTGGAGGTGTATTTCCACAAGGTAAATCTTCTTTATAAACATACATTTGTCCACTGGTATGAGACACAAGGAAAAGGTTTTGGGATCCTGGCACCCATTTCAGACAGGTTACTTTTGTTTTATCTATCAACCTCTGTAAAATAAAATCTATTAGTTAAACAATTAATTTCTTCAAAGAAAATCACTGAAATAAGCAAGCAATCATTTTTCGATAATAACGCAAGAGAGGTAATGAATATTTGGTTACTATTCAAAACTTCTGTCGAAAATTCTATTGATCAAATAAAGATATTATTTTATTTAAATATAAATGTAGTGTGAAGTACCATATCTGGACGTTTGTTTACCAGAAGGATTTTTTTTTCAAACACTTTTTAACAATCAAAATAAACAAACCTTTTTTTCCCTCGTCGGAATTTTTTTTTTTTTTTTACATTTGCGCCTAGTTGAAAAGAAGCATGCAGGGATGAGAATCTTCCGTTTTACTGCTAATTTCTGCTTCTTTTTTATTTTTACCCGGTTTCAAATTTTTGTTTTATCTTATTCTGATTTCCAATACAATATGAAAAAAAAATTTGTTATCAGACAAAACGAAATTTGCCATTTCACCATGGTGCGAAAAAAATGAGTTCTTTTTTTTTTTTTTAAATGTGGGGTTTTTTTTCACACTGTATAGTAAATATTTTGCATGTATAGTAAATATTTATTTTATTTAATAATAGTAAAAAAAATTTAATTGTAAGGTATACAAACTTTTGTATTATTTTCAAGAATATAATTTTACAAGACAAAATACAAAATGTGAGCAAAATTGGACAAAATTCCTGAGAGATAGAATACAGGGTATCTGCTACATTTTAGATTTTCCATGACTAATTCCAGGAATTTTTCATGACTTAACGAAGTTGCTATTTTCTCCAACAATAAATTTAAAAAAGCATTATAATAACATTATTTGAAATAGGTATAACCAAAACTATTATACTCTCCATCTTCATATTTATAGATTTTAAACTTAAAAAACAGAGTAAGGAAAGAGTTGAAACAATAAAATAGCTGAAAAAAATACAAAAGCAAAAATTTTTTTTCCTGCAGAATTATATTCTAAAGATACTTTTCTTGTTCATCAGAAAGCAAAGAAATACTCCTGATTTTTCTGTTCATTTCGGAATAAAAAAATTTCGCCAATAACTGGTTTGCTACAACTAGAATTTTAAATTGATAAAATTAAAAAACAATAATAATAAAAATTCTTAGATCACAGCAGAGTTTAAAGAATAATTTGCTCTAGAAATGATATTTTTTCTTTCATTTTTTGAAAGAACACCATAATTTTTAAAGAACATGATAAAATCATTTTATATTCAAATAAAATATGACTGAGTGGTGATTTTGTTAGAAATTCAGATATTTGGAACAGGATGAAATTGGGGGGAGGGAGATTCCATTTTAAAAATTAAATTTTTCGGAGACCTAAATCCCTGATTTTCCATGATTTTTTTTTAAAAAATAGTAAAAATCATGACATTTCATGACAAATTTTGTTCACTACCAAAATTCATAATTTTCCATGATTTTTCATGACTTTCCATGTGTGCGGATATCCTGAGAATATTAAATATTTGATTTTGTTTAAATTCAATTTCTCAGGAGCAATTCAACCGATTTTGTTCAAATTTGGTATACTGCCATGCAAAATAATATTTTTTAAAATGATGCAAAAAATTGTATACCAAAATTCTATGTATAGGCATATTGAATAATATTGTGCTAAATTATTTTTAAGTATCGTTATTTTTCTATGCAATTTGTCATTCTGCAGAGGACAATTTGGCAGTAAAAATTGAGGTAAAAAAATATATTTAGAATATAATCTAACATTTAAATTATCGCCTCTTCTTCAGCTTTTCTCGTAAAAAAACAAAATATGTCATAAGAAGGCAAGAGATATTAGCACAGAATAAATTCTTTTAAAAAAATCAATACAATTATTTACATAACATACACAGTATATCTGATTATCGCAAATGTAAAAACTTAAATACTGTGTATATATCGATTTACATAACATACACAGAATTTAAGTTTTTACATTTTGTCTGCGAGACTGAAAAAAAAAAAAAGAAAAACAGTTTCCAATTTTCATACTGTTTTTCAATCGTTACTGATAGTTCAGAGAAATACACACAGAATGTTCCATTTAATTAAAATTAATATTTACACTGTTACTGTTTTTCAAGTTAGTCTGTTAATTAAACACTTCCTCAAAAAATTTGAAAAAGTTCAATTTTTTGTTTCAGACATTTTCTATCTTGAATTTCCTATAGAACATTAAGCTATCTCATGTTAGAATTAAAGTAAATTTCCTCTCTCCCAGCTAAACAAATGTTTAACATTATGACAAACTCTGCACAATTATAAACACACACCAGACTTAACCAATATATAATAAGCTTTAAATAATTGTGTCAAAGATGCACCATTACAACATCACAAGCACACCATAAGCCATGTGATCCCGCACACAGTGCTTGCCTTCAATTAGGTGTATTAAGAAGAAGTTTCCTTTTTCACCCATGAATGGCAGCAGGGTAGAACAGTTAACAGAACTAAAAAACTTTCAGAAGTGTTAATATTGTTCTCACCACTAGTGTTCAAAATCCGGTGAACTTAATACAGCTCTTGCGGTTTTTCGCGAAACGGCAATGAATTGACTTGTGATATCCAATCATCAAATTCTATCCCAGATAAAATTCTGGTGGCGGAGTAATGTAGTGTAACTACCACTACATTAATACAATTCTAATTCACTAGTAAATGAGACATGTTAAGTCAATTATATCTCGGGGTACCTTTAATAGATGAAGGTTGACATCATTTTAGCATTGACATTTATACATAATTTCTCAAATTTAAATATTAATAAAATGCTTTGCGAAAATTTCTAATTTGTTATCACTTACTGCAATGCTTGACAATATAAAATTTCTTGACTTAGTGATTCTTTTTTTAAATCATGACCTGAAGATCAACTTCTTTTACCAAACACCGAGATAAAAACCCATGGGATCCAAATCCCACCCACCTAGGATAAGAAATTATGGGATTACATCACTCTTAATTAATTTAATGAGATTTCTGATATTTCACATTTAATTTCTGGTAAATTGAAAAAACAAATTGTGGTTTAAATAATTTCTTTGACAATTTTGATAATTCAAACAAATTGTCGATAATTTCAAAACATTTTGTTTTGAAAGATCAATAGAAGCATTTAGTTTTGTAAGGGTTAAAAAAACTGTGAAAACAAAATTGCCATTTTTGAGAGAAAAGTTTTGAGGGCCATCCTTGGTGGGATAAAAATAAATAATTCCTGGAGAAATAAATAATACTGAACTTTATAAAATCTACAGAGAGCCAGATATTGGGAAGTTCATTAAAATAAATCGAATGAACTGGGCAGCTCACATTTTCAGAAGGAATGATGACTCAAATATAAAGAAAATTCTATTACACAAACCCCTAACGAACAGGAAAAGAGGTAGACCCAGGCTGAGATGGCTGGATTTAGTTGAGACTGATTTCTTTACTATAAAGGAGAAAAACTGGCAAACAAGTGTCAAAAGTAGAGAGAAGTGGATTCGAATTCAAAGGAAGGCACAGGCCCACCCTGGGCTGTCTAGCCAGATATGACGATGAAAAAAACTGTGTTAATGAAACAGCAATGTGTGTATTGGTCGTTATAATGGAGAGGTCAGTGTAATGGGAGTCAGGCTAAAGAATTGTATGTGCCATAAAACTTTATTCAAAAAGATGGGATATACTTAGTGCTACGTAGACTAAAACAAAAAAACAATATGAGTAAAGAAAAATACTTTCTATATTTAAATTTATGCTCTATTCACAATGTTTTTTTTGCTTTAATAATATAATTATTTTTACTAAAATGATAAAAATATGCATTATAAATTTTGATATCACGAATTTCTTAAATCAGGAAATATCTAACATCTCCTTTTAAGATATCAAGGTTTGAACCTTTATTGACATGACTATACTGGATAAGAGATTAAGATGTAGATACAAATATTATTAAAGAGAGAATATCTACATGATAAAGCTTTAGAAATAAGGAGAGAATTCACAATACATAAAAAATTTTAAAGCTTTTTTTTATTTTAAATTGTAAAAATAAGTGAAAAGTAAATAAAATTTAAGAAACCATTCATACTTTACCTCTTCATTATACAATTTACTAAGTTCTTTTTTGACAGGATCGATTAATTGAATCTGACCAGCAGAAAAACCAACCAAAAGTGATACTCCATCACTAGTGACAGTGCATTGATTGAAATCATGGCACGTAGGATAAGTTCCCTTATACACTCGTTTATCAACCGGTTTTGTCAAATCTGCAGCCTGAAAGTAAAAATAGGTTGAATTACTTATACAAACCAAAACTTGGTTAACAGTTATAACATTTTAAGCTGCATTACATTATAAACAATAAAAATAAGAATTAAAAGTTTGATAAATTAAACAAGAGAAATACAGTCAAACCTTGATTTCTTGAATTTAAAGGTAGAGACTAATCATTTTCTAATACAGAAACCTCAGGATATTTAAAATTAAATATTGTTATTGCGTATAGATATAATTTATAGTATAATTTTTAGCAGTTTAGTCAAAATAATAATTCAGCAGGCATTCATTTTAAAAGCTTGCACAACATTTATTTATTAAAGAAGGAGGGAAAAAAACAATTATTTTAAATAATATTGATTTTGTTTCTTCATTTGGTTTTACATTTTGCAGAAATTCTTTGATTTTGCATTTTCCTCTTCTGATATATCCTGTAACCTCTTTTAATATATCTTGTGCTTCCCAATTACCACATATTGCAACATAATTGTCCAAAATACCTACCTACTTCTAAATTTTTAAAACCTTTTGTAGTTATTTTATAACCAAGTTCATTCCAATCTTTTGGTCAGATATCCTTAAATATCTACGAGATATCTAACATGTCTACTTTTCATTGAATGAACAAAGCTGTGGAATTTCTTTCCTCTGTTGCGTGAGAATTTGTAATGACTCTTGCATAGCTAATTTTAGCTCTGCAATTGGCTTCTTTAAGAAAATTTTTCCCCCTCTCTTTTAAATGACATTTATAGTCCACATTTTGTCGAAAGGTACAAAGTGGCGTAAGTGTTGTAACAAACCTCTGGGGGAGTTGAGGGCACATCATCAGGATTAAAGTTGCATTAAAACCCATGCCTTGAAATGTTCCCATACACTACTAGGAGCACTTTAATATTGTGAACTGTTTCTTCATGTGTTTCTGAACAGTTCTTAATAGGAAAGGGCACCAAACGGCATATCACATTTCCAGACATTGGTTCCTATACAATTTTAATGCTAATGATGTGCCCTAAATCCCTTAATTTAGCGCCAACATTTACGCAACTGTCTGTCATATATATATATTTTTTTAAAGTTGTGCATTTCAACAAAAAAAGGGACTAAAAATGCGATTTTTAAAAAAAATCTGAAGCTCTAGAAACAAATCTAATTTCAAATTTGAAATCCCCACACCTGAACTTGGCAAGATCAAATATTTGCATAAATTTAACAGAAAATTTGCTCCCATATCATGGTGTCTTAATTATAGTGAAATATTCTGTACATTGCCTTTATACCATAAGAGGGAAACTGCTGTCATATGATTAAACAAAGAAAATCATTCTTCTTTATTAGGCAGCATTTTTAAAATAAACAAACATGGCCCCATTTACTTCAAACTTTATAATGCAACCATTTACTTTATAACTTCAAAAAATTACATTAACATTATTAAAATATATTTCTTACAGAGACGAAGGCTTTTTAGGTATCAATTTTTATTAACAATTTTGTAATACTTTTAATGAATGAACTGAGGGGCAATGGGCATTAAAGCAAGTTTCTTCCGTGGAAGAAAACCTGTTGTCCTTGACATTAAGAATTATTTCACAAATTTATGTAAAAAAAAAAAGTCTTAAGGAATTGGAGTTAAATTAAAAATTTTAAATTTATCAGAAATTAAGAAAAAAATAATTTTTTTTTTTTTTTGCTGGTCAAAAATATTTTGTGAAATAAAGATTACTGAGAAATGTATCAGTTTCATTCTACAGTACAGAACCCGTTATCCGGAAATCAGAAAACCGGAAAACCAAAAAAACGGAACGAAATTCGATGAATTTTCCAGCCATTTTAAAAAATAAAAAAAAATTTCCTCATAAGATTTCAGGATTTTTCATTCTCTTTTGAAAGATTTTTACCTTACCATCATTTTGGAAATAATCATTAGTGTATTACTTCATAGTTTATCCTTCTTTTTAAGATTATTTCCAAAAAAAAATTTAAATTTTTATATTTATAAAAAATTTAAATTTTTTTAGTTGGGTTTAACAATAAAAAAAACGGCTTTTTGTAGCGATTCAGAAAACCGGAAAAATCAGTTATCCGGAATAGCGATGGTCCCGATCGTTCCGGATAATCGGTCCCCTACTGTATTATTATAACAAATGCATAGAGATTTCCAATTTTTCCAAATATTAAAGAATTTTTATTATTGTCCATGGTCTTAAGCTTTAGGTTTACCAATAAATAGTTTAAAAGAGCTATAGTTTTAAAAAAGATTATTAAAAAAAAATCCTTGAAGTTAACATATTACACAAAATTGTTTGATTTCACCAGTCTGTTTGATTTACCAACATAACTCATGCAACATTTTGACCAGCTACTTTGATTTATCAACACAATCCATGCAACTTATTTGATATAAACAAGATCATAAAATATAAGGTAGCATTTTTGTCTTGCAAACGTAAAAGTTAAATAATAAAAATATGACAACACTGGAATAAATAAATTAAATAATGATTGCAAATTAAATGCATATAATTCATATTTAATTTGAAGAAAAAAAAGAATGTCTTTTGCATATAAAATACTAAAAATTATTATCTCATTAGGACAAAATAGTTGAAATTGCAATGAACAAAAATATGCAGTTATGTTAAACATTTAATAAATCTAAAAATAAATTTTATTTACATTGAAGATTTTTGTATTTCATACTGGATGTGCACAACTTTAAAACCATTACTTTATACAGTCAGGAACCATTAACCTTTTCTCCTTAATTTTGGAGAAAAAAAAAGAAAAAAAACATTCAAGATTTAAATTTTAATGCACTATATTGAAATATAAATAGTTAAAGTACATATTTTCAGATACTTCATATTATATCCAAATTAACAAATTCTATTGACTAAACAAGCTATTGTGCATTATAAGGCGTATTTCTGTTATTAAATCTCAAGATAATTACATTTAAATAAATATTTAATTATAATTCAATACTGTAAATTTAATGGTTTTTCCTTTTGTTTAGCAACCATGGGAGTTTTATGAGGCATTCTAGTTTAACAGGCTTATAATGGAGCAAATTTTGTTCAAGGAAAGCATCACTAAGTTGATGATATTTAAATTATTAGGTGATACATTTCATTCTAAAATATGTGGGGATAACGGATGGTAAAATAATTAAAATTAAAAAAATAATTTAATTTAGCAAAATTAAAAAATACTGATGAGAAGATTTCAAGCTTTTCTTGAAAATTCCCTGATTTTTCCCAGTATAAAAAATATTCCCTGATAATTCCAGGTTTTAAAGGTTTTCCGGGTGAGTGGCCACCTTACTGAGCCAAAATAATCACAAGGTTTTGGAGAATTTTAGGTAGTGGCATGTAAGAACAGAACTAACTCAAAGAGTATAACTCATAGTGGCCCTAGTCAAACTGTGTATTCTCTTTATTTTCAGAAAATTTTGCTGAAACACTTCAAATCAAAACCTTGACTGTTGGCAAGAAAAGGTACTGAACAGAAATATCTCTTTTATCTATTTCACTCAAGTAAATCTCATACCTAAAAAATTGTTTGCTGAATATTTCTTTTTCATTTCGTTTAAGATATTATCTCAAGTGTTGCAAAAATCAAGCAACTTTTGAAACTTAAATTCTATAAGTGAATGTAATAAATAAGTAATTATCAAGATAATTTACTTATTTATACTTTTAAGTCTAAATATTATTAATAAAATAGAATATTTTTAAAGAAAATTGCAGTAAACAGTAAGCTGAAAATCTTTAAAAAGGGCTGCGATTCAAAAATTTTTATGTATAATTTATTCTGAATAATTAGTATTTTCTACTACAATTGTTACAAATCCTATAAATAGTTATTTGGCACAATATTGCATATTTTTGCTTCTAAAAGTGTTAAGTTTATGTAAAATAGAGCAATGAGGAAAGATTTTTATTTCGTAATCTGCGGCAGAATAATCACTAGGTCTTGGTAGCTTCTGAGCAGCAGTGTGTGAAAAACTAAAAAAAAAAACCAAAGAAAGGGAACAACTCGGAGGGCAAAACTTGTAGTCACTTAAATTTATATTTTAATGCTTTGTAGCCAAGACATAAATCAAGTGAAAAAGAAAACACAGGGATGCCAACTTGCTACTCTTCTGGTTGTAGCAAAGTTCATATTTTAATCAGGGGTCTGTCCAGGTTTTTCTGAGAGGTACCTATTATGTGAAAATTTAGACATAATTTGTGAAAATTAATAATTATATTTAAAAATCAACATAATATGGATTTATCGTTTCCTACTGGATACAAAAATAAAATTTTAAGAAAAAGTATTGTATTTTCTAAAGTTGAATTCGTAAAGGTACCATTAAACGGTAGAAAATCTGGCCTGGACAGACCCCTGTTAATGCACGATTCTTAATTTAGTAAATTCGATTCAAAGTTATTTGCCTTAAAACATTACACATAAAGTATTCAAAAACTCATATAGGATTACCACTATTACAGCATTCTCATGATGAAACTGTTAAAAATCCTGACAAAAATAACCAGAATTCAGAATGCTTAAGTTTCTAAATTTCTGCTACTCTAGAAAACTTGTTGCTGAGCAGTTGGCAGCGCCACAAGCTTAAATCATCTGTTCAAGTTATATCTCACCTCACATTTGAGCACATTTAAGTGCAGTATATATGAAAGCTACAAACACAATAAAAATATACAATTAGAGCACGCATTGACGGTAATAATTCTACAGATTTGAAAAGCTTTAAATCCACCCCAACATTAAATTAAATAAACCAAAAGCATGACCGTAAAAGGAAAACATGATATGTTTACAAACAATCTGTCTTTGACGTAAAAAGTAGCGATATTGTAATAGTTTTACTCATTATAAACTTAATTACTTAAGTGGGAAGCATATTTGTATTAGAGCTTTTCCGATTTTATTATAAAACCTACCTTTTTCACTCCTTTATACATGTAAACATAAAGTTCTCGTCCCACGTTAAAGCAAATACGATCGCCGTTACCGGAAGAATCAGGCATGTTTACAAAAGAAACTTTCACAGGAGTATTGCCTTGTACATTATAATTAATTTTATTGGGTCTAGAATATTCGGATAACGTCATTAATTTATACACTCCTTCTCTTGTCATAAATTGAGTCTTAAGTTCATCTTTGCCTCCCCCGTCACACTGCACCGCCATTTTACCGACTCAACATTGATGAGGAAATTAAATATCCCGGATGTTCATAAAATGGTAACATCATTAGGAAGACAGCTCGAAGTACATAGATTCAAAAAAAGTTTTACGACACTGGGATAGAAACAACATGATTTCATCAATTAGCACTAGAGCAGTACAGTTTATTATTTTCTTGTTTAACTTTTCTGAAGAACAGTAACCGAAATGAGTATCAACAATAGTTGCCATTAAAAATTAAAGAAATCCGACAAAAGTTGAGAATTTACAAATTTGTCTTCGAGACCGACTTTCTAGGATAATCATACCAATGACGTTAAGCAGTAACTTTGCCATCTGGCGAACTACATCATTCGCGATCGCGACACTCGATTACGCCATCTGGGGAAAGACGAGTTCCATGGTTTGACCTTTCCCTCTCCTACTTTTCTCAGTTATATAGAAATGTAATATAATATTTTCTCTTTCTTAATATTTTTCGCATTTATCACAAATACTTTTCAAAATCTCCCCCGACGTTTTCCTTTGGAACTATATTCAATGTAGATTTCAGCTCAATATAGTTTAACTTAAAAGTTTTTAATCTTTTTGAAAAATCAAGACAGAAATTATGCATCCTTCTCCTGTGACTCTCCACACGCTAATGGTGAAAGCATGCGAAGTATTGCCATAGGTAGAGAGCTTTGCTCTACGCCACCTGTAGCCCATTTCGATCGCCGATTGCTAAATCTATCAATTTGGAAGATGCTTAATGGAGGAACCACTAAAGTGATGTTATTTGAGTATTCTTCGGGTGGATGAACTGAGTAGGTGACTAAGCAGCAAATTGTCAACAAAATCACTTGGTTGTCATCGAACCGAACTAGGCTATAGCTGGTACTCCTTTACCTATGGCAACAATAAGCATGCTTTCGCCATTAGCGAGTAGACCCTTACGAAAATTTAAGGTTGATTTGAGGTATTTTTGAGGTATTAAGGTTAATTTGAGGTATATTTGAGGTGTATTTAAGGTTTCTGAGAAAATAGCAATAAAAATTATACCTCGTAAAGGTTGTAATTAAGGTGTACGCGGTTGTTTTATATATACTTCAGCCTATTTTGAGGTTGTTTAAAATCAACTTCAAATCAACCAGGTTGATGAGGTGATTCTCAAGGTATACCAGGTTGATTTTCTAACACTTGTAGCAAAAGAGGTACTTTTGAGGTATAAAATTTTTTACCTTATTTCAACTAAAGAGAGTGAGGCACTTAATGAGGTATATGAAGTCATTTTATTTATACCTAAGCTTATTTTAAGGTTGTTTTAAATTCACTTCATATCAACCAGACTGATGAGGTAGTTTTTAAAATATACCAGGTTGTTTTTTTTACACTTGAAACAAAAGAGGTATTTATGAGGTATAAAAAAATTTATCCTACTTTAACTAACGAGAGTGAGGTATTTACGAGGTATAAAAAATATACCTTTTTTCAACTAAAGAGAGTGAGGTATTTATTGAGGTGTATGAAGTCATTTTATTTATACCTCAGGTTGTTTAAAGTACACTTCATATCAACTAGCTCACTTCCCAGAGTGAGCTAGTTGATATGAGAGCGGCAAATAGCGTGTGTGGTTACAATCGAAAGTTTCCTCGAAATTCGGTAAGTGTGCTTGACATTTATTAATTTAGCTTTATCACTTTTAATCAAATATGCTTCAATTTTCAAACTTAAATTTCATTATATTTGTTTTAAAGACGCGTCCTGATCTTACATTATTTAAGTCGGAAGATATTCTTTGAGGCTATTGTTGTAGGCTTAGCAATAAGACAGATCAATCTAAATATTTCTCGTCGCTGTTTAGGGTAACGTTACTGGTGAATCGTTACAGCAGGTTACGCACAGTATATTTTATTGTTTGTAATTTATTCAAATATAACTATTCTTTTTGTTTTGCTTAAATGTATATGTTTTAACGTAGCAGTATGCAAGCTGATTGAGTAAAAGGTTCATAATTTCTCTTATAAATAAATCACTGAAAATTGAAAGTTAACAGTTTTTATATATTGCAGGTAATAAAACAAATAAACAATACTATTGTAAGGAACGAAATGCATATTTGTTGCCTTCAACAAAAATCTAACATACATATTTAACTAATAAAATAAACATATACAATAAAAATTGCAATCAGGGTAAATACATCACACAAAAATTTNTATATATATATATATACAAGGTGTCCCGAAACGACCGCATAGACTCTGCACAGAAACAAAGTATTACGTCACTGCGGGAGCAAGAAAAAACACTTTATTGAACATATCAAAAGTAGTATACAATGCACAATTTAAATCAGATGTTCAAAGTGTCCGTTTTAAACATTATCGTCTGGAAAGATATGCAAATACTGTTGCTGATATGTCCAATAAAGTGTTTATTTTCTTGCACCGGCAGTGACGTCATACTTTGTTTTTTGTATTTTTCTTGTAAGCTATGGATCGTACAGGAACGCTTCTTTGGGCAGTTTTTATGTACTCCCAACAAGGAATCTAGCTGTGCAGAGTTTATGCGGTCGTTTCGGGACACCCTGTATATACACAAAGTTTATCCACAGTTCCCTGGTATTGCTGAGATGACAAAGGCTGTAAATAGCACATGTGCAGCAGCGAAGAAGAAGTGGCTAGTAAACTACTGCTCAGCTTTCCCTTGGGAAATAGTTCTAAATTTATACCGAAAAGAAAAAGTAATCTCTCCTAATAAACTACGGAATGAATGTAATTGTTGATAACAATAGTTTGCTAGATCTTTGGTAATTGAAAGCTGGTAACTGTACTAGCTCACTTTTTCATGTTTGATCACAAAACTGCTATTTTTCTCTACATGTTATTTTTTCACAATTTACTCACATTAATTATTTACTAAGCAGATTGTTATTTCTTTTAAGAATATTGAGCAGAATTAAATAAATCCCGATTTCAAGCTTATATGACAATTTGTTTGAAGGTTATGAGCAGTTTTATGCAGCTGTTTATGGTGCACAACTTCAAAAATTAACGAATTTTGAAAATCTTAAATTTTTTAGAAAGAAGTCAGTATAGTTTCTTATGCAATTTTAATGCTGAATTGAATAAAATCATTTGCAAATAAAAACATTTATAGTTGAAAGTTATAAGCATTTTTTTGAATTTCATCCTATAGGATGCGTTTTTATATTTAAACAAATGTTTGTAACAATTAACTATTAGTTTTATTCTGCTCGGCATTATAAGTTATATATGAGATATTATACTCAACTTCTTTTAAAAGTATTATTTCAAATCATTCTCTCTTAGACATTTTCCTCAAATAAAATTGCTCACAACTTTAAAATAAATGCTCTTTATCAGCCTGTAATTAGTTATATTCGATTGAGTGTAAAAAAGAATAATAAAAATTGGTACATAACTTTAAAATTTCAATTTATTGAATGATTGTTGATTCTTGATTACATTGATTAAAAAATATTAAAATAACTATTTTTAAGAAACTCTGATGGGATTGACAATAACGGAAGTCCTCTTCAGAATCAGCGTCAAAAATTTATAAAAAAGCTATTAGTTTCATGAAGTTTGAGAAACAGTTTAAAAATATAGACTAGGTTTATTAAGTTTAAAGATTTGGAAGAAGAAAAAAAAATCTAATTATCAAACTTACAAGTACTAAAATGATATCAGATGTATAGGAAAATGAAAAGTGCTAAAATTCCCTAATAAGATAGGAATTATTTATTTGAATTTCGGTAAAGGTCTTTAATGGTAGTACTTTCTACAGTGTATTTTATTTTGTGGCTGTGGTACCTGTCATGCGTTTTAGCTACGAGGATTGAATAGAAATGGCAGAAGGGGAATGCTATTTATCTGATAAAGAAAATTAATTTCATCCAGTTAATTTAAATCATAAAAAAGATTCTAATATTTTAAAACCTGACACTATTATTGTAAATATGACTTTCTTACTAATTCATTATTTTTTCTTTTATGTTCCAATAATCACAAGTTTCAACAGGTTGACGGAAACAGTATTTAAAATAATTTTAATGAAATTTTAGTTTTAAATAAAAGTAATTTGAATTTCAGATGACTAATTATTTATATTTGTAGTTTTATAGCCTTAAAAACTCAAGCACCTTAGACAACTATCTTTTAAAAATATGAGTTCCCATTAATAATTTTTTATAACTGCAGAATTTGGATAAGTGTTATTATGGGATGATTTAATTCAATCAATTAAAATTACAGAAGAATTGTGTATTTGAAACTTTCTTTTGCAGCTTAACAAAAGAAGCAATTACTGCCGAAGGATTAGTATTAAAAACTTCAGGTTGATAAATAAAGATCTCTACTAGTGAAAAAATGTAACGATATACATTATTCTTTATATAATATAAATAATATCTTTATATATAATATATTAATAAACTAGGTGGTCCGTATAACACCTCATCTTCGTAAGTACTAAAAAAACAGCTTTAGGTTGAGCTACATAAGACTGAAGTGTAAAATGTCGCATCTTTGGTTGATAAGTTAATACTTCTAAAAATACAAAAATATATGTTTGAGGTTACGAAATAATAACTTAAGGTAGAACATGGAACACATGACGTTAATAAAAAATAAACTTTCCAAGTGTTGAAAATACACTTCAAGTTGATTCACAACAACCAGAAGTGTAAAATGGCACACCTTAGGTTGAAATATATATACCTCTACAAGCATAAAATTAGATACCTGAGGTTGAAAAATAATTACCTGAGGTAGAAAAAATTACACCTGAGGAAGATTTATAATAAGCTGAAGTGTAAAATGACACACCATAGGTTGAAAAATATATACCTCTACAAGCATAAAATTAGATACCTGAGGTTGAAAAATAATTACCTGAAGT